ATACCCATACGGAACAAAAGAAAAGCCCAAATAACGGTCATCTCAACGTGAGATTCCCATCAGAAGTCACCCACAAATATCTAAAAGTGGTTTCAATGCATGCATCCACAAGTTTGGTGATCTCAGGAACCGTTTATTCTGGAGCAGGGATTAGAACCCCTGTTTTTCCGTCATAATCTGGAGAAAGGTGTCATTCAGCCAGGATGTAATAGGTTCAACACTCCTTGGTAGAACGGCTGAGTTAAGGAGGTTTTCTGTTAAAGCAGAAGCTGATCAGCACATTTTCATGAGATTTATCTGTAATTGTTTCCAAATATACATGCCTTTGAACTAATTAACACCTAGAATAACGTTGTGTGAACTTGATGTTGCCTAGCAACTTTAAAGTTGTTGAAAAGATGTGAAAGTGGATGAAAAATTGAAAAAAATAAAGTTAGAAACATGAAACTTATTTGCTGCTTTAGTAGGTTTACCTGTGAAAGAGTTTTAACACAAAGTTAAGAATGGAGCTGATGAATGGCTAAAACTCAAAGCTAGCTTTGTTTACCTGGTGCAGGTGGAAAGCTGGCATGGTGTTGATAACCTTCAACAGGACTTGGACAAGGGGATTTAGCCAAGAGTTGCTTTGGTGTCTGTTGTTGATTCATAGAGAATTAATTCCAGCTGCGTTCCCATCGCATGTTAAGCTTGAACCTTGGGCTATATAATAATGATGTTTATTTGAACTGTAGCTCATGATGGGAGTGTTGTGCCTGCAGTGTAAAAACATTTCCACCAACCCTCCAGCACACCTGAGGTGCGCCGTGTGGCGGACCAGCTGTGTGTATGATAATTATATGATCATAGCTGAGAGGTTTGCAGCTTAACCTGTATCACACACTAACAAACCACTCAGCCGTGGGATCTTGGCTAATTTAAGTTAAATTGGTTTAGAGGAAAAGGTCACTCTGCATGTGTTACGCCTCCATGCAGCAGCAATAACAATGCTGCTGGGCTCTATGCTTTCTCCCTCTCTCTCTCTTTTATGAGTTCACAAATGAAGTGCATGTTTCAGGTCATTGTTGTTAAAAATGCTGGAAGCCAGTCTGGCTTTGTTCAAAGTGGGGTAAACTGTGAGCTGGAATACGCCTTTAATTTATGCATTCCAGGGCGTGTGTGTGTGTGTGTGTGTGTGTGTGTGTGTGTGTGTGTGTGTGTGTGTGTGTGTGTGTGTGTGTGTGTGGGTGTGTGTGTGTGTGTGTCCTGATAGCCTTTGTTACATTATCACTCTTTGTAATGAAGCTCCAGTAAGAAGTATTAGCCTGACAGTATTTTATTGCCTGTGCATGTCAGGTCTACATGGGACAGTGAGGAAGACGAGGACATGAGGAAGGGCAGGGGTTGCATGCTGCAGTACCAGCATGCTACAGTGAGGGTGCTCACACCCTTTCTGGCCCAGCCTGTTGCAGACACGCTGCCTGACCCTCTAACTGCAGAAGAACCTGTTGAATACTTCCTTGGTTCTGATTGGGAGGTTAGAAGTCCTGATTTCACACATAACCAGTATTTTTGTTAGAAAACAACAACTTTATTTACCACTTTTGCTTGTGATGACTAACAGGTGGATGTGACCAATCTTGTGCGCTATTCTGTGCAAGTAGCAGACCCTGATGTTGCCAGACTCCAGGATGGGATGATCCTGCAGGGACGAGCTGTGGGGACCACGACTGTGCAGGTAAATAATGAGCATCCCATGTGTGTGTTTGTGGTGTTTCAGTGGTATTAATGCAACTCCACGCTTTGGGTGCAGGTGCTGTCCCCGTTGACGTCATTGGTCCTGGCTGAGAGGAGCATCAGGGTGCAGGATGATAAAGTGAGTGTGACAGAACTGGGAGTGCACTTGGTTTGTGGACTCTCCCTGTCTCTTCAGCTCAGCCCAGGGAGCAACAGGGCTATTGTTGCCACGACAACCACTAGGGAGATGATCACGCAGCTCAAACAGGTAAATAGCAGGAAACTTGCTACACACAAAGCAATAAAAAGTGGAGGTTTCAGCTTGATTTATTACAGTAAAACTTCTCTTTTGAACGCCTGCCCACTTTTATTGTTTCCATTTTCAGTAACTCTACATTAAATGTTTCTTTATTAACATTACCATTAATAACTATTACATGTCCTTAAGGTTAGGGCAAAGGGTGGTGGTGGGTCTGCTTAGCAGTGCATTACATGTTATGGTTAAGCATCTGTTAATACTTTAACAGTTTACTAATGCATAATAATGCACCGAGTAACATTAATAAAAGGACCCTCAATGTAAAGTGTACCCCCATTTTCTTATGAAGATACTTCTTTTCTAGGGGGCAGGCAGGCAGGCAGGCAGGCAGGCAGGCAGGCAGGCAGGCTGGCTGGCTGGCTGGCTGGCTGGCTGGCTGGCCGATACAGCAGTAAGACAAAACAAGCATCTGGCACAGACCAACACAAACAGAGGATTTAAATACATGAGGATAATCAGGGAAACGGGTGGGTAAGGTAACGAGGGGCAGGTGAATTCAATCAACACTAACAAGGGAGATAAGACACAACAGACACAGGAGGCTACAGGAGCAGATCCTGACAAAACTTAGGAATAAAGTTCATTTTGCTGTCATAGCTTCATAACCCTGACCTAGATTGAAGAATCTAAAACTGAATACAATAAAAAATGAAAAAAAAAAACTAACAAAACAAAAAATAAATAAATATAACGTAGAAAAGAAAACATTGACTCATACACTTCTTGTTTGAGTTTAATTTTGTTCTGCTTTCTCTCAGATCCATGCTTTATACTGTGCTACACCATTACAGGCAATTTTACCCCAGACGTGCCTCCACTGCCTTTTTCCATACTTTAATTAGGTAATTGTCTATGGTGCATAAAGTAACAATAGATGACATTCTAAAGTTCACACATCTAAAATGTAAATATGCAGCTTATTGTTCACATTTTACAAAATGTTTTTAGTCTTTTGTGTAAAAATTAAACACTTAACATCATAGAAATGCATTTTTGTGTTTGCGAGTGTAGGGTTAGCATGCGTATGTATTTTGGGTGCTTTTTAAGCTCAATATACTACACTACATTTGACCAATAAGATGTGGATTTCTATGAAAATATGGAAATCCAGTCTGATTGGTATTTGAATGTTTAACCAGAAGAGGCTACAAGAGGAACATAAACTGTATGCAAACAGAGACAGACACGTTTCCACCATTCATTTCTTCTGTCTTATTTATAAAAATAAAAGCCATGTAAGTTTTAAGTCAGCCCGTCGATCAGATTATATTTTGTCCAACCATTCTAAATGTTTAAAGGAGAACAGAAAGATGCTTTAACCCCCAGACCCACGGTTGTAATATTACAACATCAGATTTACGTCTACAAAAATAAACCTTCCCCAATTTTTTTTCTTTTTAAAACCACATTTACATTGCTAATAGGTCCTATTGTTCAGTTCTGCAACACTATTGACTGTTAAAATGTGTAAATAGGCCCATTTATCTGGCCTCCTAGAACAACATGTGAAAGTTAAAAAAAATATTTTGCAGTTGTTTTCTAAATTTGGGTTTCTGGGGGTTAAACTGTATTTGCACACCAGTTGTCCAAAGGTTAAAACATTTCTAAAAGTGCAAATTATGGATGCTGCTGAGAAAAATGTTGCTAGTGACAAGTATAATCCAGGTAAAAATTGGATTTAGAAAATAAGTGATTGTTGTGTATTTGAACAAAATTGTAGTTTGTCGAATAATTTCCTGGTTTGGACTGAATTGAATAAAAGATTTAGAGGAGAGTCCCTGCTGGCAATTCAGATCAACCCCAGGCTATCACTGTTGTTGTCAATATTTATCATTGGACATATAACAGTCGGTGTCTCTTTGAACATTTATGATGTTTCACATTTTATGAACCTCTTAATTAAATGGTAAAGAGTTCTACTCTTGGCAGAACTCCTCCAGGCTTGTGAAGATAAAACATCCATATTGCAAAGTGAACTGAGTCAGAATCATGTTTCTGGTAGAAAATCAGAGGTGAAATGTCCAAATATCAGGAAATGAGACTCCATATTTGAAGTTCTCCTCTGATCTGGCAATCTTCTAGATCCTGAAACAGGTGCACCAGGGCTTTTGGTACCCAGAGTACAACTTACGAGGCATTCATTCCTACTAGAGACCACTCCAAACATATTGATTAAATGAGTGAAAAAATATACAAAGGTGTAAAATATGTATTTTAAAAAATCTGTTTCTGCTTCTTTCAGCGTAAATGTTTTCTGGACCTTAACCGTCGTCGGCACTTGTATCTCCTTGTGAGAGAGCAATGATGAGGCAGACAGAGAGCACAGATGATCATTTTAAAAGCTCACTCACATTCAGCCATGGCAGCTTGCCAAGTTTAAAGCAGCGCTCTGTCACCGACGTTGACCAGAGCTCAGCTGCTTGGACGGCTGCTCGTTTGCACTCTTCCTGCTGCTCTGCCCCATCGATAACAAACCTGCTGTTCCAGATGACCAGCCAGTTGTGACTGGTAATGATATGCTCAGGGCGACTCATAATGTGTCCAAATACAAAATATAGGTCGTCCGGGATGACCCAGTGGTTCATGTTAAACACAGGAAGTGGGTCATGATGTGAAGTGTATTTCTTTTCCTGATGTCACCCATGTTGTGGCCCCTTTTAATATTTTCGTGAAAGGCATATATTATAAAATGTGATAAAATAAAAGAGAAAAATATATTGATTGATACAACTGCTGCTTACAAAAGTTGATGTTGGGACATGAAACAGAACAGGTGGTCTTAGGAAAATCAGCAGGAAGGAAAAACTCACCTTTTGCATCCTTTTGTACTGCCACGTGGGTCCCTGGAAAAAAATCCATCTATTTATTTTCTGGATCAGCAATTACAATTTTTCGACCTAGTAGATTATAGTATTTTGAAATTTATGTATAAAGTCGACAAAAAGCACCTTCCAACTAATTTGATTATAAGATTTGTGGAAAGAAAGAGTAGTTATGATTTGAAAGGCAATAAAATATACATAATACCAAAACATGGGATAAATAAAAAGGAGCATTGTGTATCAATATATGGAGTCAAAATGTGGAATAAATTAAGTACCGAAATCAAGAATACCAAAACAATATATATCTTTAATAAACATATAAAAAATGCTTAGCTTATATGATGCTATGAGAAAGACATATTTATGAAGTAGAGAGAATGAAAGGGGAAACACATCGTATGTTCTACTTTGTTTCTTTTTAGCTATTATTTTTTTGTGTGTTTTGTTTTGCGTTGATTGTTTTCTCCTTTCATTAAATGAAAAGAAAAAAATAGTTGTGCGTGTATTATTTTTCTCTCCATTTATTGCCAAAGTTAAAAGAGTAAACCAGGTCAGACATTTTTTTAACTATAATAACTTTGTTGTCATTTGTATTTATTTTTGGTTAAGGGGAACAGATGACATACGTTTTGCTTCTTTCTGTTCCTTTTTCTTTTTTTCTTTTTGCAAACCTGTTTTGTGTTTTGTTTTTATTTGTGAATAAATAAATAAAACTTTAGAAAAAAATAATAAATTATGTGCTTACAACAAGACGTTTCAAAATGTCCTCATTTATGATGTCACAAACGGGGAAATTAGCATAGATAAAGAAAGTATTTTGTAAGGTTTTGAGAGATTTTGACAGTTAATAAAGACTTTCTAAAGGTTCGCTAGTTTTTTAAATTTTTAACTTTGGCTGCTTTTGTTCATTTTCAGAGGAAAACTATTTGTTAAGCTATTTGACTCAAGCCTACAAATCTGTTTAGCATTTTAGCTCGGAACTTGCTATTCTCATTGTATAATTAAGAAAAACTAATTGCTTTGCTCTGTTTTTCTACAGGAAGCGTTAGTCGCCTGCTGGGTGCAGTTCAGCGATGGGGCTGTTGCTCCACTTGAGCTTTTTGATCGCAGCACATACTCCCTTACTGTCTCCACCCAAGATGACAAGGTGGCCACAATACGTCGCACCCCACAGGCTGCATTTGCAGTTGCCCAAGGTGAAGGTGAGGGACGGGGGAGGCAGGTGAGGGTGGAGCTGAGGATCTGTGAAGAATGCCAGAAGTCTAAGAGGAAGAGTAAGCTGGCTGTGGGCACAGGGATCCTCAAGACCAACTTCCAGAGTGGCAGAGGTGTCACAGGAGCCGTGGGAGTTTCTGATAAAAACAACAACAACGTGGATCAAAAAATGTCAGAAGTGGTGAGTGAGCCTAAAACAGTGACATCACAAAGCGCTGTCACAGCGGTGGAGAAAAAACTGGTCAAAGGGACGGTACCCAACAAGCAGTCCATTGTGGCAGAACGTATGACCTCAACTACATCTTCCAATAGATATCTGCAGACACAGGTGGCATGGACTGGAACAACCAAAGCCACAGCAGGAACAGCCTCGGGTGGCGTTAGTGTCACCACTTCTGCAACTACGAGCAACATAGGCCAAAATACACAACCGAACATGGCCAGTCCAACAGTGGGCGTTTTCAGAGATGCAGGTGAGATGAAGAAGAGTTATGGAAATATGATCGACAACTCCAATTCATCTTCTAACAACAATGTTCCTGAAGCAGAAACACCCAACAAGGAACCTCCTAAATTTAAATGGCCCACAGTAATCGAGAGCGACCTCATCAGGACATTTAGAGCAATGTCGGACTTGGAAATTGGCATGTATTCATTAGTGGGGGTCTCCTGTGTGGCCATTTTGGCATTTTTGCTCAACTGTGCTTCATATAACTTGTGTTTCCGAAATAAGAAGACCCTTGTACAGGGAGGCCCAGTGCCGAGTGTGGACCCAAAAGATCATAAGCATGACTGGGTATGGCTTGGGAGCAACAATCAGAGCACTGCTGCACCAGGAGCTCCAGTACCCCCGGCACATGCGTCTACGCTAAAAGGTGAGCCTCAGCGCCCCCTGGAGTCCCGTCATTCCATCGATTCCATGGGCCACCTGGAGAGCCCTCTACCCACGGTGAGCGCTCCAGTTATCCCAGAGAGAACGGCGACTCTGGGCCGCATCAGAAGCAGCTCCCAACAGCATCAGTTTCAGGCAAAAGCTATCGACCCCATGGCGAACCGTTCAGCCACACTGCTGGCGAGACCACACCGTAGCGAGCCTCTACATTCCCCTACCAGCAAGAGGAATCAGGTACAGTTCACCACCTTCACCACGTTGGACATCAAGCACTTGTCTGCACTGAAGAAGAACGGCGCAAACTTAAACTGGGCCAGTCAGCAACAGCAGCAAGCCCCTCCTGAGACACAAATACCTCTCCCTGACATGCCGTGGCCTGTAGTCAAACCTTTAGGGGAGCCCCAGTGAATTTACATGATCGGATCTGTGATTTAAAGAAAAGAAGTGTACACTTGAGGTGTTGTTCGTAAAAGAAAAAATACAATTGCATATGTTAAAACTGGATGAATCACCTGTAAGGACGTTATCATTGAAGTTACATAAACGTGTTTTATTTAAAGTGTCTTCTAGGTGCAAATCTGTAGGCACAAAGGTATATATTTTGTGTGAAATCTAGAAAATAATCAAATCTGCAAAATCTATCTTGTAAATATTACTTATTTATACATTTATATGCAAAAATAGTAATTATTTCATTTAACTTTTGTAAAACTCTCCAATGTCTGTAGGAATAGTTTCAGATTCCACTAGATGTCAGATTAATGCAGTATGAGAATAACTTTGATTTTTAACTAACTCCTTTTTTTGCAAATACCTGCAGATGTTGTATTTTGTCTTAAAATAGAAAACATTCATCATGAGTTTCTGAGTGAACTGAGATTCACCAGAATCTAATCTAATTCACGATTCTGTCAATAGAGCCTTCACAGCATTTGAGTTTGACATTTTAAACAGTTAATTTTGGCTTCAGGCAACTCCTGAGGAGTCTGCTTGTATGATTTATTAAACATCCAATTTCCTGACATGGTGCATTACATATTTAACTGAAGTTTTTCATGTGTAAATGGAAAAAAAACATTTTTTTACATAACTATTCTCCTTTTTGTAAACCAAAATGTGACATGTTGTTCCAATGACTGTCTATCAATAAAGAAAAACGCTAAATAAAAATGTTTTATAGTTTAAATCATTATTTTTAAACAGAAAAGTACACAGATTTTCTAATTTATTTAATTTTGGATTATGAGGGCTAAAGCTTCGCCATGAATCAGCAGGATTTAAATATGTTTAATCACTCATGGATGTGATTTAGAGCTGATGTCATCATTCTGCAAAAAGTCGTTATGAGAGCAGTGTATTTGATGTGCCTGCATGCCAATATTAGGAATCTGTGCTGCTGCAGAGAAAAAAAAAACTCACACTGAGTGGAGGAAAGCTTAAAAAATGTGCTTGACATGTTTTCATCATATGCTTTAAAAAATAGCTAGTTTTCTTTCCTTTTATCAAAGATGAAGCATAAAATTTCATTTTGAATTCTCCAGTGTCTTTTTAACACATTATTTCTAAAATTATCTCTTTTAATTTATCTGATGATCACTGATTCATAGATGTTCCTGTTGGACATTAATAAATGTATGAGCAATAATTCCTGCACTCATCTGAGTTATTAAAAACAGCACAATTGTGAGGGTTGTCCCTTGCAAAATGTGTGATTTCCACAAAATGTTGCCGTATTTTTATTCTTTCTTCAGGCTCATGTTTTAACCTCTTCACATTAAGCTGATGTCAATAAGTCCCTGAAGGCAACACTTTCAATAATTTCTTGAGTGTTAAATTACAGTAAAACAATCTTGTTACAATCAACAGTATTACACAAAAATCAACTAAAAGCAGCCAGGAATACTCTGCACATAATAACAAATTTAGAGTGTAAATAATGTGAGTTTATGAAGGAGAGAAGGAGCAAAGTCCCTTGGTATCATTGCAGCTGGATCTTTAATCTGGAGCATCAGCTTCCCTGTTGACAGATTTAAAGGATTGAGGTCATTGTGCTGGAGGATTAGTGTGCATTAGCGGAGTGTCTCAGCAGCGCAGTCCTTATAATGTGGGCCAAAAGAGACAAGGTCACTTATTTCTGAAGTGTGTTTTCAGTGGTCGGTGGGGGGAAGTGCAGGTGCAAATGGAAGAGGTGACTCATGAGAACAATAATTGAATATCTGCTGATAAACAAACTGCACACACACACACGAACACACACACGCACACCTGCACACAGGCAAATACACACACACCTTTTTTGTTGCATTTAACAAAAGGAGCACAAGAGGTCGACTCTCCTTCATTAGCACCTTTTGAGAAGGCGGTGGTCACCAATCTGGGGTGAAGTTGGATGTGGAGCTCATACTGGACAGCCAGGTCAATGGAACGATCAGATTCTGCTGTTTCTATCTCAGGAGCATAGTTAGGATTAAGCAGTTTCTTTCACGTCCATCTTAGCATTCCTACACTGGCTTCTGATCTCTTAGAATTTGGTTTAGGGATCTGTTGTCCGTCTTAAAATTTTTAAACAGGTTGGCCTCAAGGATATCTATCAGACCTTATTAAACCTAAAGCCTGGTTTATGCTTCTCCGTCAGCTCCGCAAGGGACAGACACGCACGGATTGACTGAAGCGTTTTGCTCTCATACTTCTCCGTCTCCTGGAGAGTGTTGCAAAGCAATTGCCCGGCAGGACAACAGAGGGTGTAGCGCTGTTCTGTGGTATCCTGTCATGTATCCGGTCCAAGATAGTGTGTTTATATTGTGTTTTTTTGTGTATATAAGAGACTTTTAACACGGACATATTTGTCTCTCATTCTCCCACCTCTTCATGCGCTCCCCACCTCTAAACCCACGTTTCCTGTCATTTCCGTCCACAAATAAAACGCTTGCTGCGCATCTTTTCACTCCTCCAGTCACGGGGGAATTAAACGTTCATATTTTTAGAGTTTTTTCGCGAGGTATTCTTCAAGCTTCTCCGTGTCTGCCGCTAGTTATCCTCGGCTGTCTTTGCAATGGCGGCGCTGTAAACAACTGCGGCGTCCTGACCAATCACAAGCTTGCGTAATCTGTCTCGTTCGACGGATGTTTAAAAAAGTGGGCTCGACTCCGTACGTACTTGCGTTCCTACCAGATCCCTACACAAGGACGGATAATGGCGTTGCGTGTCTCCGCACTGACGCAGACGGAGAAGCATAAATCAGGCTTTACACTCCATCGAGGCCCCTTCGTACAGCAGAGCAGGGATTGTTGATAGTGCCCAAGCCCAGATTCAAATCACAAGGGTGTTGTGTCTTCTCAGTACTGGGGCCAAAGCTCTGGAATGATCTGCCTGCCGGTGGGAAGCAGGCCCCTTTGCTCAGCAATTTTAAAAGCCATCTGATAACTTTTACTCACAATGAGCCTCACCAATGCGTGGTTGTTGCATTTTTGTTCAGTCCCACCAAGCTTTTAAATACAAGTTTGTGTTTGTTTTATAATTGCTTTTAAATCTTTCTACTCTTCATGTCAAATTGTGTCACTTTTTGCTGTACAACACCTCCGTGTTAACGCCCAACTGAAGTCTCTCTCAGAATGACAGCCAGAGCTCCCTTTTAACAGGGAGGCTCAATCAATCTAACAGCCTGCAGCTGTGCAGGCAGAGTACTGAGGGCCTCTAGGGGCCAAAAAGTGACAGTGTCTGTCACATGGTCATTACATAATTATAATTATATTTGAGGATATACCCCATTATCATCTTCCTTCTGTTCATCATGAGCACTGGCGTGATTGGTTGGCACAATAACTGTCCAACTCAATTTCCCAGAGAAGTCTTAGTTTGAAACTGCAAAATATATTCAATATAATAATTGTTATTATTACTGGTGGTCCCCATCTTTAAGAAGGGTGGCTGGAGGGTGTGCTCCAACTATAGGGGGATCACACTCCTCAGCCTCCCTGGAAAGGTCTACTCCAAGGTACTGGAGAGGAGGGTCTGATTGATAGTTGAATCTCAGATTGAGGAGGAGCAATGTGGTTTTCGTCCTGGCCGTGGAACTGTGGACCAGCTCTATACCCTTGCAAGGGTGATGGAGGGGACACGGGAGTTTGCCCAACCAATCCACATGTGTTTTGTGGATTTGGAGAAGGCTTATGACCGTGTCCCCAGGGGCACCCTGTGGGGGACGCTCCAGGAGTATGGGGTGGGTGGCTTTCTGTTAAGGGCCATTCAGTCCCTTTACCAGAGGAGCGTGAGTTTTGTCCACATAGCCGGTAGTAAGTCGGACCAAATCAAATCAAATGAAATCAAATCGCTTCTATTGTCACGTCACATGTGCAGGTACACTGGTACAGTACATGCGAGTGAAATTCTTGTGTGCGAGCTTCACAGCAACAGCTGTGCAAAATACAATAACGTAAAAACAAGCAAAATATAAAAATGGCTAATCTAAGTAATAATATGTAATGTAAGGTATATACATTCCTAAATGTGTGTGCTAAGTATTTTATTTTTTATTTTGACCTGTTCCCGGTGAGGGTTGGACTCTGCCAGGGCTGCCTTTTGTCACCGGTTCTGTTCATTACCTTTATGGGGAGAATTTCTAGGTGCAGCCGTGGTGTGGAGTGTGTCGAGTTTGGTGGCAGGATAATCTCATCTCTGCTTTTTGCGGATGATGTGGTCCTCCTAGCTTCATCCAGCTCTGACCTTCAGCTCTTGCTGGGTAGGTTCGCGGCCGAGTGTGAAGTGGCTGGGATGAGGATCAGCACCTCCAAATCTGAGACCATGGTTCTCGACCGGGAAAGGGTGGCTGCCCCCGCGACCCGGACCCGGATAAGCGGAGGAAGACGACGACTAAGTGTGATTTAAGAACAGGAGTGGTGTTTGGTTCTCTTGGTTCTTGCAAAGACTCTAGCAGCAGCATTCTGAATAAGCTGCAGGTGTCTCAAAGCTTTTTTTTTTTGGGAAGACCAGACAAAAGACCGTCACAACAGTCCAGCCAGCTGGAGATAGTTGTGTATGCAACATGTTAAACCTAAAAGTAGATTAAAATAGTAGTTCACGCATGACATCAGTCTTTTGAAATTCAGAATTCCACAGAAGAAAAAGAAGAAAAACCTGTTCTTGTCAAGCACCACACAAAATCATTCTAAAGACTGCAAATGGCCCATGGGTACTTTGGAACTCTGGACACCCCCATAGTCTGTTAGATCTTCATCAGATGTTCACTCTGGCTTCTTATGCTCAACATGCTCAACATGTTAAACTTTGCAAAAATATGACAGTGCGAAATAATTATAAAAGTAATAATTGGATACACACTGTAATATAAACTGAATACACCTCACGGCCCCTGTCTTGTTTTCTGTCTGCACCTGGAAAAACCTGCTCCATGCGAAATTCTGTGTCTAGATCTGCACTGCTGCCGGTGTAAATGCTCTGAATGGACACAATATTCTTTAGTATTTGCGGAAGCCGTACAGAGTCCGGACCACAGACGTTCTGTATTCATTGTGAATCAGGCGTTTAGTCGGACCACTTCCTTCTGCGGGTTTGTTACGGACAATTAACAACTCCACATCTCCATAAACTAAATAAATGCGTATGAAATATTTTTTTTCAATAGTAAAAGCAAACAGCACAGACAAAGATACTTTCAGCAAAAGAAGACATCCACAAGCAGACATCCATTTTAGAAAGAGTAAAGACATGAGAGAGAGATAACTCAAATCACAGGTGGAAGAGAACTCAAACCGTATGGCAGCTCATTAAGACAAAGTACCTCGCGCTTTCTCGCTACACTCATCGCTGTCAGTGCTTGTCAGCAGAGTGTCAGCGCTCACTGTGCATCTTCAGATAATGTCACCAGTCTTACAAAGACAGCAACTAAAGGCAAAAGGGGAGTTCTTTTTGTTAATGAGACAGATTGTAGAAGAAAGGCTTTGTCAGAATTGAAGAAGTTTCAGAAGAGCAGTTGCACCTAGAAGCTGTAAGCATGATATGAAATTGACCCAAATAGACACGTTTTTTGTTTAATCAACAAAAAAGTAACATAATTCACTTCATTCGTTGGATAATTAATAACCAAGTGTTTCTGAAATTGCAAAATGGGTCAAAATGAGAGGAATTCTGTAGGTGGACCGGGAGGCAGAGCGATGAGACGATGCACTGCTGCTGCTCAGAAATGTGTTGAATTATACTGAAAAAGATTCCTTCAAAAAT